TATGAAATTTAAGCGCCAAAATATAGAGGAATGGTGTATTTACATTGTCTCAAAATTTCAGCTCAAAATATTGAGTCGTTTGGACGTGAACGTCAAAACTGCTTATCCGGACACGTAACCCTTTTAAGATTTCGAGTCAGTTTTTCCGTTGGGTGACCTGATAATTGATTTTCGTTCCTTGGAGGTCTATAAAATGAATGACCCATGTGCTGTACTTCAGAACGAAATGTAAATTTAACCTACACATTCTTTGTTTTATAAAATAAAGGTCTGGTTTTATCCAGACACCGCATAATACAGCTTGGGACACCGGTCTCCATTTCCAGATGAAGACTGGCGAGTTTAAGTTGTTTGAAAACGTATCACATATATTGAGTTAGTTGCTCGACCCTAGAGGATTTTAAGGGATTTTAACGCAATATTAAGCAGTTTTATTCTTCAAAATATTATCGGGATTGACCCTTTAAATTTCTTGCTGTGCAATAGCTGAGATGAGCGTGGATTGTAAGTGACGCGAATACCTCTTGGGAGAATGTGGTAGACACAATAGTAATTGCCATTTAATCACCTAGAATGGTCTAATATTTTTCTGATCGACGATGTGTGGATTTAGAAATAGCTTCCCGCTTTAAGGATGTATTGTATAAGATTTAGATAAAGAGTCGCTATAATAGTTCAAAAAAAAAAAAAAATTGTCATTACTACCATTGTTACGATAATAAAAAAGCCTCGATTAACCACATTAAATTAAGTTATTAACTGGCAATCGTATTTAAATCTGTTGAAAATCAAAACTATCCGATGATCTAAAGAGTTGATTATGGGCATCGCATGTAAATAAATGTCTTATTAATGATTTATATAACAGTTGAGGCCAAAATAAAGATCTGCAATAGACAGATTTAGCTAATTCATAATGTATCTTTAAGAGACAAATATATCCGGAACAAGCCCCCAAATACTCTCTCCTATTACATTTTTAGCGAAAACCTGTTCTATCCCCCTACCGAAATCGCCAATACTGTCTGCACTTTTATGTACCCCACTTTACAATTGAAACCATACCTGTATGCAAATGAAACCCTACCTGCATGCAAATGAAACCCTACATGCAAGCAAATGAAACTATACCTGTATACAAATGAAACCATACTCACATGACAATAAAACCATACTTATATGTAAATAAAACCATACTTATATGTAAATAAAACCATACTTGTGTGTGCAAATGAAACCATACATGTATGTAAATAAAACCATACTTATATGTAAATGAAACCATACTTTTGTGCAAATGAAACCATACATGTATGCAAATGAAACTATGTCTGTATGTAAATGAAACCATACTTATATGTAAATGAAACTATACCTATGTGCAAATGAAATTCTACATGCATGTAAATGAAGCCATACCTGTATGTTAGTGAAACCATACCTGTATGCAAATGAAACCATACATGTATGCAAATGATACCATACTCGTATGCAAATGATACCATACTCGTATGCAAATGAAACCATACATATGTGCAAATAAAACCATGCCTATATGTAAATGAAACCATACTTGTGTGTGCAAATGAAAAACATACATGTATGTAAATAAAACCATACTTATATGTAAATGAAACCATACTTTTGTGCAAATGAAACCATACATGTATGCAAATGAAACTATGCCTGTATGTAAATGAAACCATACTTATATGTAAATGAAACCATACCTATGTGCAAATGAAGCCATACCTGTATGTAAATGAAGCCATACCTGTATGTAAGTGAAACCATACCTGTATGCAAATGAAACCATACATGTATGCAAATGATACCATACTCGTATGCAAATGATACCATACTCGTATGAAACCATACCTATATGAAAATGAAACCATACTTGTATGGAAATAAAACCATACATGTATGCAAATAAAACCATGCCTATATGTAAATGAAACCATACTTGTATGGAAATAAAACCATACATGTATGCAAATAAAACCATACCTATATGTAAATAAAACCATACCTGTATGCAAATGAAACCATACATGTATGCAAATGATACCATACTCGTATGCAAATGATACCATACTCGTATACAAATGAAACCCTACCTGTATGCAAATGAAACCATACTTATATGCAAATCAAACCACACTTGTATGCAAATCAAACCGTACTTGTATGCAAATGAAATCATACCTGTATGCAAATAAAATGGTGTTAATGGTGTCATAGAATTCCAACGTCAATCGGTCTTTTAGGTACGCACCAACATGCACTCGGGACCTCGGTTGTTTTTCGTACCACCCGAAAGACTAGAGATTGTTCCTTGCTACAACACCAGCCCTACACCACTGACAAGGAAAACCCACGTTGAAAATCCAGGGAAACTGTCTAGGTCAATACCGAGATAAAACCCGCGACACTTTGGTTAGTGAGCCCGAGTCCTACTGAGACACTGCGACACCCAATAGCCCATAGCTCGTCATTCGATATTCGCCAATATCAAAAAACGAAAATCGAAAATCGAGCTAACTTAACACTGCCTATTTTTTTTTTATAATGGATCAAATTTTGAAGCTTTGATTGTTTTTTCTGACAAATCTGATATACAAAGGTGAAATAAATTATGTTTATATGTATAATATGACATGTGCAGATTACGTAGGCGCTCGATTTGATGTATGTGAGTAGGAGTGGATTTTTTCAAATCGGACGAGTTTTTATATTTTAAAGTATGTATGATGATGTATCTATCGTAAGAAAAACAGCCTATGGCTTGATTTATATCAGTGGTTTTAATTGGACGTGATTTTATCTCTTTTTGTACATATTTCTATCTCAGACATAAAAGAACTTTATATGCACTTTACGTATAGGAGGTCATATACGATATATGTCCGAAGATCCACGTGGGTGAAAGCGCTAGCTAAGATGGAATTATTTTTTTTGTTGTTTTATTTTTTTTCTCAACTTCATACCGCTAAAAATTAATTCACATGACAAATCTATAATCAATTCTCTAAAATATTGGAGGGTCGTGATTTCTAACGGATTGAAAACGTCTAAAACTTCATACCACTAAAAATTAATTCCATATAAAAAAAGAATAACAAAACATAATAGTGTATTACAGGTCCATTATGCAAGAGCTAAATCTGCCTATTGCAGGTCTTTATTTGGCCTTAATAATTATATAAATTAGACATTTATTCGCATGACAAGCCTATAATCAATTATCTTAACTATTGAATGGTCGTGATTTCTAACGGATTGAAAAATTCTAAAACTTCATACCGCTAAAAATTAATTCCATATAAAAAAGAATAACAAAACATATTACTCTATAAAAAATGCATTATGTAAGACCTAAAGCTGCCTGTTGCAGGTCTTTATTAGGCCTTAATAATTATATAAATTATTAATTAGACATTTATTCGCATGACAAGCCTATAATCAATTATCTAAACTATCGAATGGTCGTGATTTCTTAACGGATTGAAACACGATCGACATTTAATGGGGCATTATGGGAGATTAGATAAAGAGTTGACAGTTCTCGCTATCAATAGTTAAAAAACAGACAATGTAGAATATTGCTGAAAATTTCAGTCAAATTGCTCCACTCTGAATCGAGATATTAGCTTTTGATTTTTAGACTAGGTTTAATCCCCATTACTAAAGTCGGTACGATAAAAACCAAAGTCTCGATTATCCATTTTTACGTTTAATCACCCTTGAGAAAATGTATTCCAGTCCGCTAAATATCACAGGCTAGCGATGGCATGGAGAGTTGATTATGGTCTAGATAAGTTAATTAATGTCTAATTAATAATTTAGATAGCATTTTAGGCCTAAAGAAAGACATGTAATACGTAGATTTAGATCTTGCATAATGTATGTTTAATAATTTAATTTATAAATGGATAACCGAGACTTTGTTATCGTAACAATGGTAGCAATTAAAATCGAGTCTACGCTATTCTCATCAATACTTCAGCCATAACTTTGCTCAGATTAAAGTAATTTGACAGAAATTTTCATTACATGCCTGACAGCTCTTTATCGACATCTTACATAATGAACGACGTCCCATGTACACATTGGCGTGCACGTAAAAGAACTTCATTAGCTCAGTCTGTTTTATGTGAGTTGACGTTCGCAGCATGTATTTCCGAATACCCACTTAAAACACCGAAGCTGATTGGTTAATCGAATGACTTATAGAGTCAAAAACAGCTCTTATGACTCGTGACGCTGCCTACCACTACAATGGGTCACATCCTCCCACATCTTCATGTGGAGGCCATCGAAAGTATTAAAACGAAACGCAATATAGATCTGGGGCCTGTTTCACGAAATTTTAACTAAGATAAAATTCAAATTTTTGTAATTTGATTCGATAATATTAGATTGATTTTAGTGCCTAGCCAATCAAAATTGAAGTATCTACTAAAATTTGGATTTTATCTTTAGTTAAAATTTCGTGAAACAGGGCCCTGTATTTAAATCAGATTAGGCCTACGTTTTAAAGGGATTTGATACAACCGACCGTCTTGTGTCATTTTTCTTTTGTATATTTCACAGTCCTATCAAACATATTTTATGTTCGTTGTACTTTATATTCTAGAATTAAATCTTCTGGAACAACTGGTACCACTTCACAGTTGACAAATGGAGGGGTAGCAATCTTTTTGTTGTACTTTTTAAAAATATCATTCTAGTAATACTAAATTCTTGTATAAGGCTAGAAAGTCATTCCGTTGATTCCTGTGTTCTAAATTTTGACTTCTTGTTCGGGTTTTGTGATGATTATTTTGATTGACTAAAAAACGTCCTGATTGGATTAAATCTGGTTGTTTTGATAATCGTCGTAGCGGCAGATGATTGGCTGAATGATCTTGTTCATCGAATTTCTTCATTCTTCGCTGTCTATGGCAACATATCCAAATTAGAGCTCGGCGAAATTTTCTCGAAACGAAATTATAAACAAAAGGATTAATGGCGTGATTTGCATAGAGTAATATTCGAGTTAGGTACAAGACTGTCAGATAAGCCTCAAACCCGAAATTTCGCAAATTTTCCTTCTTTTCGAATAGCGCCCATAAGACAATGGCTCTGTATGGTGTGTGACAGACAAAGAAGACAAGCACAACCGTTACAATGATTTGAATCATCTGTCGTTTCAGCTTGATAATTTCTATCGGGGAGGTTTCGAATTTTACCCGTTCCTTCTCATAAAGTATGACCAGTTTACGACAAACTCTTGCGTACAGAATTATGATGGCAATCAAGGGCAGAAAGAAGAAGACACTGGTGATAAACACGATATAAAATTTATGCCACGTTAAATAGATTGGAGTATTACACACCATAACCGGGGTCCCATCCAATAATCGTTTCGCTTCGTATTGAGTTATGACCATAAAAGGTATGGACGACAAGATGGCGGGTGTCCAGATGGCTGCAGACGTGATGATAAGGCGCCATGTTTTGCTGTGTTGGTTAGTATTGTGAGCTAATCTGTATCTCTCTATACTTATAGCTAATATAGTCATCGCTGATGCATTTCCTACAACATTCTCAACGTACGGGATCAATTTACCTGAAATATATATAAAATATATAAAATCAATAAAGGGAGATAACGTTCTCTGATTTAGATTAAAATAAAGTATAATTAATTGGTTTGAGAGAGAGAGAGGTAGATATAGGTTTAACGTCCACTCGACATAAACTAGGTCATTTCGGGACTAACATAAGGTTCAATTTTATTTCAATAATTCGCTTGCGCGTAGGGGTCTTTTAGCAGTGGGAGGAAACCGGAGGACTCGGAGAAAACCCGCGAGGTTGTATAGGCGACTTAACTTCTTGTCACTGGTTTGATCGGATATGTTATTTCAGTTAGTAATGACGACCACTATTTATAATTTACAGCACTTTAAAGATCCCCTTGACGCTTGAAAATCGAAATAGTGCTGTAGTGCCTCTTTCAGTTCAAAATTTCCTCCACAGGTTCATAGGGATTTTCCGATGTGGTTTCCCCTTGTCAGCGGTGCAGGGCAGAGGGCCTGACATGGAAAGATGTCTATTCATTCGGGTGGGATGAAAAACCGAGGTCTCGTGTATACATTGGCGTGCACGTAAAATATCTCTTGGCAGTTGGAATTCGATATAAGAGTAGGCCACACTGCATGTCGTATGCCCGTCGTCATTAGCCCAGTCGGGACAGAACAGTAGGACGTTAAACCCCATTTCATTTCATTTCATTTCCCCCATGAGATATAAGATATTAAACTTCAGTTTTTTTCACATTGCCAGACTGTACGTCATATTTGGATGATCTGTAATACTGTTTGAATGGCATTTAGTAATTGAACACATTAAAAAAAAAACACAACAGTTCCATGGATAACAATTACTGTATGCCTATAAAAGCTACGTTTTAATCTGTAATACTAGAGGGCCTATATAGTATTTAAGTTCTCTTAAAAGATGCTCTGGTTACTGTATTGAAGTCGTTAGCTGGTACCAGTGACAACGAGACCTAGGCTAACAAGGATATGTCTGGGAGATTAAAATCGGGCAATGACATCATCGTCTGGAAATCCAAATATGGCAATCCCATTCGTTAGAAACGTGGACACCCGTCCTCCTGGGTGTCCACATAAATACACTGTGTTGAAATTCAGCGTAGCTTCTGTGCAGCTGACCAATCAGCTAAAGGAAGTACCTGGTCCAGTTTCCCGGGAGTGAATACATGACGGACGGATGCATGTATCCTCTTTATAAAGAACGTGCGGGGTTTAAGTTTCTTTGGTCATCATCTCGTATTCTCAGAAGGACGTCCCCACAGGCTCCTCGGCTGAGAGGTTAGGAAACACCGCCGCAAAACACAAGCTAGGGAATAGGGAACTTGTATTTAGCTTTTTTTAAATGTCATGGCTGTGTGTGTGGTTTCCTCTATGTAACCTTTGTATTATGGATGTTGTATTCGATATATAAACGATATATAACCAACAAAGTGTTCCAGAGTTAATGTTTTAGCGGCTGCGATAAAGATATATTATACACAATGTTTAAAGTGGAGTCCTAGAGTAAAGAATTACAAAAATAACCATAGACAATACTAGACGATCACAAGGTTGTTATAATATGTAGCAGTGAAGAGAGTATGCGTCACACGTTGGATCTGGGGAGTTTTTGTTAGAATGCCTTTTCACATCCAACCAGCGACGCATAGCATAGCATGGCATATCGCTACAGATCTAACTACAAAGTTTGTGCTCTTTTGAAATAAAATGAAATGAAATGGGGTTTAACGTCCTACTGTTTTGCTCCGAACTGGGTTAATGAAGACGGGCATACACCATACAGTGTGCTATGAGGGAAATTTTGCCCAGACAGCGGCACTACGGCCTAATCTTATATCGAATTCCAACTGTCAAAGGATCTTTTACATGCACGCCAATGTGTACACGGGACCTCGGTTTTTGGTCTCATCCGAATGACTAGACAGCTGTCCTTGTCAGGCTCTTCGTCCCGTATCACTGACAAGGCGGAACCACGCCCGAAAATCTGGGTGAACTTTCTGGGCCAAAGCGGGGATCGAACACCGACCTCCAGGCTAGCGAGCCAGTGTCTTACCCACTTCCAATTACAAAATTACCCAGGCGAAATATTCTCGCCTATAATTGAAGACTTAAAAGGCAGCGATATAAAAGAATCCATGTAATTTTCTCGCTATTTTCAAAATAGTCCTGCAGTGATATATCTAGTAGACACAGACCATGTTTCTTTTGACAATATAATTTCAGTCTTTCGGTTTCAAAAGACGCATAAAGATTATTTGCGTTTGATAAAATTCTGTTTTGCCCTTGAGGCAACATTTGTGATGCAAATTATCTAAATATATTACCGTCTATTAAAGATACATAAGTTAAGTGTTTTATAAAGAGTTGGCCATTCTTGCCATAATAATTCAAAAATAGATGATAAAAAAAAAAAAATTAAAAAAAAATTGAAAATTTCAGTCAAATTACTTTGTTCTGAACGGAATTGTCACCGCTGGAAGTTTGGACTAAAAATAGGCATCAATTGTGTCTGCACCGTCTATGAGAATTGGCGATCGTTTGATTGGGTATACAGAGTTGATTTTTAGCTTTTCGTGTAAATAAAGGTCTAATTATCTAAATAAAGACTTGCAATAAGCAGATTTAGCTCTTGCATAATGTATGTTTAAAAGAGGAGTCGTACCGGCTAGAATATACCCGTACTAAGTTTTCCAACCGCTTGCTGTTTGTTACCAGTGAATGAAATGGGGGTTTTAACGTCCTACTTTCCAGCACCAAGCTGGCAAAATGTGACGTCACATCATATGGCGTCGATAAAACACGCGTGTTGTTTACATGGGGCGTAGTAATACAAATTGGCACCTTTTACACATTTTACGCTCCCGTGTAGGACTACCATTTTATGTACTCATTCACAAGAGATAGAAAATACTTTGTGTCCAGATATACTTCAAATACCTTTGTTTTTCTTCTTAATAATTTAAAAAAATTGTGTTAAAATTTAATTTGCAGAAGAGAAAAAGTCAACATTGAGAGTTAATTAACTCGCCCCAATGTCATCAGCTTGCCCTCATTAAAGCGGTGGTTTGGATTCCATGATTGTACGTGACAAGGAGTAGGGTCTCTTGGCCAACATCGTTGGTTCTCTCTGGGTCCTCCGGTTTCCTCCCACTGCTAAGATACCTACGCACAAGGGAATTATTGAAATAAAATTGAACCATATGTTAGTCCCGAAATGACATAGTTTGTGTCGACTGTGCGTTACTCCCCCCCCCCCTCTCTCTCTCTCTCTCTCTCTCTCACACATTAAAGCGAAAGTGGAACTCGGATTATAATTATCTCCATGTTGACTTGATTGTTGAAGGCATTAAATCTCTTGAGAGGCTTATTTTCGGTTTATGAACAGGCTGAAGATCAATTAAGAGGATTAAAAACTATCATCTTTTAAATGTTATATAAATGTCGTTTTTCTGGCGAATCGACGAATCTTAAGTATTGAGAATTATGCGTTTGAAATTTGCGTTCTGTTTTTATCTCTGTAGCCATCAAATATTAACATTTATTTATGATTTAATATTTCATACATATACATCAGGACACGGAACGCCATTTACATAAACGTTATTATTTGATGGACATAGAGATAACAACAGAGTGTAAATTTCAAACGCATAATTCTCAATACTTAAATATTTCAGATTCGTTGGTTCGCCAGAAAAGCGACCATATGATGGCTTATATACTGAATGGATTAGAACAACGTCGTCATTTAAAAAAGAAATAACGATGAAATGTTTATTATCGTAGCAATGGTACTGGACAATTGGGACTGTCTTCTTAAAACTTCAAACACACTTAAAGATACATTATGGGAGATAAGATAAAGAGATGGCAGTTCTCGCTATAATAGTTAAAAACTAGATAGTGTAAAGGTAATTTGCTGAAAATTTCAGTCAAATTGATCCACTATGAGCCGAGAAAGAAGCGGGTGAAATTTTTGCATAGTCTCGGTCATCATTACTAAAATCATTAATATAAACAGCATAGTCTCGATTATCCACTTTTTTGATTTAATTATCAATGGTCGTTAGCGGCATATAGGAATCTAATCCAGTCAACATCGAAGGCTAGCCTTGACACCGAGGGTTGATTATGGTCTGGATAAGTTAATTAATGTCTAATTGATAATTTAAATAACATTTACGTACATCAGATAAACTACTTTTAAAGCCCAAAACTGTTCAACTAGTCTCCTATGGTCAGCGCTCTTTTAGTTATCAAGCACCTGTTTTATGGAATAATCTACCATTTAGTTTAAGATGTTGTACATCTCTGTATTCTTTTAAAAAACAACTTAAAACACATTTATTTAATCAGGCTTTTAACTGACTCTGTATACAATCGTTAACATGCCCATAATCTTGTTGTTTATGTGTGATTTACATTGTCACTTTGTAAAGTGCCCCTGAACATGTTATATGAAAGGGTGCACTATAAATATGCTGTAATAATAATAATAATAATAATAATAATAATTTCAGGCCTAAAGAAAGACTTGTAATAAGCAGATTTTGCTCTTGCATAATGCATGTTTAAAGGCTCAATACCACTCTTGTTGTAACTGAATAATATGTCCCAATCTTTATTCTGGTCAACAAATTGTACTATTTTACAATATTCCAATTAATTGATGATACAAATTTCATCTTAACACACCGTATTTAAAAAATTGGAAAAATTCAACTAAATGATTTGAAAAGCCTGACGTAAAGCTTTTCAAATGTGACTTGGATTTAAAAATATTTTTGAACCCTCTGGATAAGTAAAATAGGATTCAATGGATAATTTACTCAACAGGTAGGACACTAACACATCTAGTACTTAGAATAAAGCTATTTTTTTATTTTCTGGAGCTGTCAAGTCAGCAAGAGTGTTATTGTCCCTTTAACGTCGCCCAGAATAACGTTATATTGAATTATTAAATGGCGATTGTCCTTCAGTCCGTTCGAAATCAAAACCATCCGATGGTCTA